TTTTATGTTCAATAACAGTTTTTTTTTATAAAAAATATAGCTCAAAATGGGAATGATGATGAAAGATGGAAAGAACGATCAACTAATTATCAATGCTGTGAAGCGACCTTTCGTACAGTTACACAATAGTGGGCAAGCTTTGTGCGCCATGTGCTTTGTGTGCTTAATTCACCCAATTTGCTGTGATTGAATTCGCTTCAGAATTTTATATCATACAGATTACCATAGAGTTCAATACCATGAAAATATGATAGGTAGAAATTCATGTTGTGTTTTCCAGAGGGTCAGCAGGTTCCGGCTCTCCGACTAGTCATTCCACTGTCATACCCAGCCGCTTCGGTGACGGTACATCGAGCAGCGATTGACTTAGGTGAGTTGGAATGAGTGCATTGTTAGCTGCGTAAAAATTCATCACAGTGATGTTTAGATGCGTTCTTTTACGACGACCTGCAGAACGTGGTTCACGATCGGCTTGCACGTCCCGGTTTGCACTCAGTGACAGATTTCCTCAATACTTGGGTTAGTTCCAATTCTTTACGTCAAGTATTCGTCTCTCATCAATACTCACAAGGAGGGGGGGGGGGCTTTCAGGGCAAGCCGCGCTTTTTCAAAACAGTTTCTTGCATATTGTAGGGAAGCATGTGTGGATTACAAAACCATGTTTCATTTTTTTTTCGCTGAATGGTTTTAGTAGTGCCACAAAAGTAGTGATTAATGGTTCGAACCCCCGAGGCGACTGAATTTTGCATTTCAGGTTGGTTTTACTGCTAATGAGGAATGGCTCTAAATATCAAAATTAGATGCACTGCTCATAGTTAAAATCATAGTGAGGCCTAAAAGTAGTTTACAACCTTGAATGCAAAATTTTCACACTACGATTGAGAATTTCTATACTTTTTTGGTGCTATTAGGACCGTTCAGCGAAAACGAAACATGGTTTTGTGGTCCATACATGCGTCCCTACAATATGCAAGAAACCGTTTTGAAAAAGCGCGGCTTGCCCTGAAAGCCCCCCCCCCCCTTGTAGGCACAACTGCCTATTCACATTCAGGCTGAAAGCTGTGTAAAAATATCACTTCAATCCGAATTCTGAAAAGCCGAGAGAGCAGTGTCTTACAAGGAGTGGTCAATTGGTCGGTCCGGCCAATTGTAATGAGGTGTAGTCCGATGCACTTGCGACGCTGAGCTCAAATCCGTTTTCGGTTTTTGCCGAACGATTCTCTGAACGAAGTTATGAGGGATTCTTCTCACTGTGGCGCCCTCTACATCCCTGTTCCACTCAGCTTTTATAAG